TAATTCAGTTTTTAATTTCGCTGTTTAAATCTTTTTCGTCTGACACCAGCATTATGTTGCTTGCTATGGTGTACCTGTACATTTTCCTCAGGGATGTCTGGATAAGACTTTACGTAACCAGAGAAGACAAAAAGAGACTGTCACAGAAATTTCCCGAGAAGATACAAGGGCAATCCAACTCGGTAATCCGCTTGAGTCAGATTTACATAATCTGTTTAACGTTAAAATTTAGGTAGCGGTCGCAAGAGGTATGCAATAATTCAATAGTCGTGAAGGGAAGCAGACACCGTAGTATATTAACACCACGGGTTAACGCCATTTGGACTTTTAATAGATCTGGGACCTCCTGGTTCATATCAGTAGTGTGTGTGTGTGTGTGTGTGTGTGTGTGTGTGTGTGTGTGTGTGCGCGCGCGCGCGTTCACATGGGACACGTATGTCGTAGCAAGATTAGCTTCTTTGTCAACGGATAGTGAAAAGGGGTGTATATATTAAAGATGAAGTTTGATGTCGTACCACTCAACCAAAGATAACCTACCACGCTTTCCCATCAGTTTTCATGCTGCATTATTTTCAACTCAGCATGAATACGGTATTTAAACATTTTTCTAAGTGTTTTAATTCTGTAGCCTAATTTAATTTAAGATGAGCCCGCCTCCTAATTGATACAAGACTGCAATACCTCTTACATGTTCACCTTAGGTTAACCCAATATCTAATACATCACACAATGTGGCACCTAGATGTTCAAGACCCTCTTGATTATGTAAATAATATACAGTAGAGTTGATGCATTATAGACGTGTACCATAACACACCTAAGGGAGGGCATAGGGGGCACGTACGCCCCCACCCCCGCCCGTAGTTTTTCAGGTGTTCCCCTCCTTTCTCTCTCTCTCTCTCTCTCTCTCTCTCCAAACAACAGTATTATAACCAACTGAAAGAGATAAAAGCCAAGCAATCTCTCATCCGCGTGTCCTACATATTCTATTGAAATCGTCCTCGTCTATTATTGTGCCAGGCAGTTATTGTAATAGCTGTGGCCCCTCCCTCCTTCGCTTCGAAGCTAAATCTCGGCACCGTCAGTTAATTATACACGTTATGGGGCTTCTTAGAAATTCTGTACGATATGACTTGTGTGCTGATAAGTTTTTTGACATGTATAAGTGTGGGGATGGGAAACATTTAATGAAAGAGTTAGGTAAATGTGAAACGCTCATTTCATCAAAGTTTCAGGATTGGGACTGAACCCCGGCCGTTATTGAGCCTAAGTATTGATAACGATAAGTAATTATTTAATAACGTTTTTGCAAAGCTACCCTTTTCATGTTCTCAATGTACAGTTAAGCTTTTAGATAAATATTAACGGACATGTGCTCAGAACCATTGTAGATAATATGATGTAGTTTCATTTTGTCTGTGCACCAAAGTGTGACTGAATAATATAAGGATATTGTTATCATATGCTACGTACACTGTATATTGGCGAGGGCCCCGTCAGGGGGAGGGGGGTGATCACAGTTCACGGGAAATCAAATCATCAATTCACAAATCACAGTAATTATTCAAATACCACTGGTCACTTTCGAAAATCCTGAAAATGACGATTTCCCGGGCATAATGACTTCGTTTTACGAAGGCCAAAGAGAAGAGTCGTATTCTCGAGTCAAGGTGGGCTTCACGGAAAATATGATCATTTCACGCATCTCGGGTGATAAAGAAAGGCTTCGCGGGTAATGAAAATACCCAATAGGCCAATCATAATTTCAAAACCTAGAAACTGCATTTTTTACGTGTGAGCAACATTCCGCTTTCTCGCAACTCATTTGAATGCATATCAGACACTAATTTTGGATTTCTTTTGTTTTGAAAGATTTTTCTATTTCAGTGTTTTTTGTCTGTCCTGTTATCCATGAATCAGACAAACGGCCTGTCTGTCCTAATACTATAATATCGAGGTGATCCTCTTTATTATCATTTCATCATTGCACGGAATGCCATCGCGTATGATTGATCAGAATTGTATAATTCCCACAGGGCTTTATGCTAAATGTTTTCTTTCTTACTGCTAGTCTCTAATTCCCGCTCACACAGGTTAAAATATAGCTTTGAGAGAGAGAGAGACCCGTCTGACGGTTTTAAGACGAAAGCAGTGATGAAATAGTCACCACCTCAGCGGAGATTCACCTTAATGAATGAAGTGTGAACTGGGAAGGTGACCTGCTGCTGGACTGACGACTGTCTAGTTACTGCATGTACAGTCGATCGATGGCGTCAATAGGAACGCGCCAGGACCAGTTTTGTTGATGCATGTGTGAACGGGTTCCGAGGAAAGGAAATTCCTAGAAATTATCCAGTCAACCCAACTGTCGATTACCGCTATTAGTCAGACGCTCATTAATGTCGCTCCTCACACGTCAGAGAAAATGAAAGATCCCTGGAGACGCGCTCTCAGTGCATCTTAGTGGGCTACTTGTGTCAGTCTCTCTCTCTCTCTCTCTCTCTCTCTCCCCAAAAATAAATAAATAAATAAATAAATAAATAAATAAATAAATAAATAAATAAAATGAATCTTTGACTGTCGTCTGGTAAATATATCTGAAAACATGGCAATCTACTGCTCTTAAAAGTGACAACCTTCTAGGTAAAGTATTCGCCCATATGAAATAAGCTACATTAATAAGACCTGAGCTGAGACCAGGACAAACGAGAAAAAATTCTTTTACTTTAGTCAAAAGGTTTTTCGAAGAAAAATAATGGTGGAATTATGTGTTCTTATGAATATACGCTGGCGGAACGAACCAGGACTTAAGGTTTGGGGAGCTTAGATGAAAATGGGTTTATAAAACATTAGACGAGGAGAATTTTACCGTTATAATATGTGATGGACAGGGATGGAACAATTGCTTGGGCTTATGGCGTTTCGTTTGTTATCAAGTTTTTAGGGTTAAAGGGGGAAGGAATAATGAAAGGACCTGCTATGCCCCCCCCCCCCCCCCCGATACACTAATACTGATCAGACAATTGTTTTTACATCAGTCGTATAAGGAATTTATGTAGGACACTCTCTGAAAGATTCTCTCACATCTGAGAATTCCGGCAAAACAAACCACTTGCGGTGCAGCCTTTTAATCAAAGACTAAATGAAGTCCCAAATGTGAATAGTAGCCACAGGAAATTCCTCCGCGGTTAACCGCATCACCTCCCCACGCCCTCCTTTTTCGTGTCGGAGTGAAAAAAACATCATTTGTATTCAGTTGTCTGTTTTTGCTCTTCATTAGCTTCCAGCAGTTTGCACTGCGAGTGTGAAAATAATCAAAGACCCAGTTTTATATACCGGGGTGCTTAATTCATCGTAAACTGTATGCCTCTGTGCAGTATGCAGGCCTACTAGTAGAAGGAATCGTTAACACGTAGATATATTCGAGAGTAGACAAGGTGTTAAAAAAGAGGATATAGCCAGGAAAAATTGTGGTTGGATATTGATTAAGTTATTCACTGTTCAGGAGATAAGGTAAGGTTATCGCAACTTTTTTTTCAATTAATATATCCATCAGATTCATCATGATTCGTCAATTAATTAGTTCTCTGGTTTTCAATCTCTTCATGTTCGTAGTCGGTGAATTACATCTTAATGCTGTTTCTTTTGGATGAACCAAATATCTAAAAAAATTCCATAAGCTTTCAAAGGGAAGACAGCTCTAAATTGATATTTTTGTTGGCATACTTGTGGATCTCTTAGAGTGAATCTGTTCTGGTTTGCAGAAATAAACGCTATGTGCCAAAACTGCTGAATCTGATAGAAAAGTGGCGTTTCTGATATTTTATAAGGATTAAATATCATACTACAGTTATTTAGCATGGGAATGACATAAGAGATAGAATGTAAATGCATGTTTAGTATTGTGGTAATGGTTAATGAATAATACATAATATAAAAAGGAACAGAGGCCTGACTCTTAGTAAAATCATTAGTTGTCGGAAATTTTTTATGACAGACGTAATGATACACTTTAAAACTTATTCTTTGAAGATCAAATCTTTCTCCCTCCCCTCTTCATTATCACCATCCCCCTTTCTTTCTCATTTGCTCTTGCGTCTTTTCCCATATCCCCCTCTCTCTCTCTCTCTCTCTCTCTCTCTCTCTCTCTCTCTCACACACACACACACACACACACACACACACACACACACACACAAATGAGAGAGAGAGAGAGAGAGAGAGAGAGAGAGAGAGCATATACCAGCTTTGCATGAGTAATAAGGCACGTGTATAACTATAATTCAGTAGTTTCAAACCCGAACCATGTACGGTAAGGTTGTGCTCCTCTCAGATCAACTCTCTGGACTTCAAAACACACTCAACATATATGATTCATTCCATGATAGTAAGTGAACGCAATCCTATATAGTCAGTGGAAATGTCCCTGAGGCAGTCACGCAGTTGCACTTTTATTGACTCTCCCTACACACAGAATAGAAAACCTTTGAACAAAAAATAAAATAAACTTGGAATAGAACTTAATGTTTCTTTGAGGTTAAGGATCGGGGCAAGCGTTCATGCATGAAGTTACTAGTAAGTTTTTGTGGGCATATATTGAGCTGTTAGTTATTTTTCATTAAATTTAGATCACAGCCCTATTAAAGAGTTTGTCACAGTAAAGGTAACTTGTTTTAAAAGGGTTGCCTTGTGTCATTGTTTGAACTTTTTTACTGTCATCTCGTCTAGAGAATTTCCTTTGACATCCAAACAAATCAAAGCTGACACTAATGAAAAGACTCAGTAGATTTGTTTAAGGGGACGTAGAACTTCAGAACTTGATCTTATTTGTATTGCGTTATGATGACAGATGCTGCATCAAGATGAAAGAGGATCGGAGAAGCTATAATACACCGGGGTGGTTTCCATTGTGGAAATAAACAAACTGGTTACCATGTGACACCTATGAAAGACACGGCACCTTTGCTCGCGAACGTAATTCTTTATTTCTGTATTTTCAGTCAAGAATGCCGAGTCAACGCGGCGTCGACGGGTGTCTTCAGTGGATTAAGGATGAGCGGGTGAGTAATTCCAATTACATTTTATGCATAGTGGTACATGTGGGGGGGGGGGGAGGCCTTATGCTGAAGGAAAAGGGAGGGGCACGTGTCCTCTGTCACCTCCCTGGGGATCTGATCCACCATTGAGTTAACTTACACAGCATAATCAGCTAGCTTGTGGTCAGCGGGTGGTCAAAAGCAACTGTCAGACATTAAAAAAAATCTCCTAGATACGCTACTTCCATCTAAACAAGAAAGTTATTAAATAAATCAACACTCTAGAGTCGAGTAAAGTGACATAACCACATCCTGTATTGATGCGGTGACTTGACACTGACAGATCTTTCATAAAAGAGCTCTGCCTTAAATAGCATATCATTAGAACGCGCGCCTTTAAAGGCACTGCTTAATTCGTGCCTGAGGTGAACACTGAGGACGTGCGATAAGAAAAAAAGCTTACAAAGATAGAATGAAACCACAGGTAAATACAGTGCACACAACGAGGAGAAAAAAAATGCTGTCGTTAAGTACGTTTATCGAGACGGTCGTTATTTCTGAATACGTCTTTTACGCTGGAGGGACACATTTGTGAAGACTGCAGTGTTAAATCACAGACAATAATATGGGCGATTTTTTTGTTTGTGAATATTACAGGTCCCTAGGTAAAATACAATAGTATAGTAAGTAATTGTGTATATTGTTTTAGGAGGTCCTGAGCGATGCTGATATGGGCAGTAACATGACCACTGTCCAACTGGCCATAGAGGACCAAGCCAAGAGAAATACGGCCATCAGACAATATAGGGAGCAGATTGGGAATGCTGTGGCGGAGAATGTGAGTTCTTCTTCTTCTTCTTCTTCTTCTTCTCTCTCTTCTCTCTCTCTCTCTCTCTCTCTCTCTCTCAAATATCACCTTTTTAGTCCTTAGTCTGGTTGAAACCAGTTTGATTAAAGGCTCACACTGAGACCACCCAAAAACTCGTTAAGGGTGCGCCAATAGAAACAGTGAAATCATTAAGTCAAGCCGCTAGTGCTTCTATCGCTTTCCATCCTCACAACTTTTTTTTCTCATCCCCTTATTGAATGCACAGTGGCGTATTTATGTCATGATGAAACCACCTAAGAAGGCGGTTTATTATGAGGGATTGTCCCAAAAATCGATGCGTTTTAATGGAGCAACTTATAGCTTTTTTGTATCTCGTTTTAATGCCCTGTGCGACTATTTAGAACGTCCTGTGACTATTCCGATCGTCTTGGGTGTTGTGAAGAAAAATAACATCTATCTATAAACTGCTTGATTGACTGCATCATTGTGTTGTTTTTCAAGGATGCCTCTGAATCTGAATATGCAAAGCTTCATGCACAGTACGTTGCACTGACGGTAGGTGGCATTGTGGTAGTTGAGATTTGACGCAATCCGATGCTCATCTGTCTCACATAACACAATCCGTTTTGCTTCTAAACTACTGTATAATTATTGCGACCATAATTTAATAAATGCACCTGAATGAACTTCCTCTCTGGGAGTAACCTTTGACATCATTACATCATGTAGAAATACTTTTTAACATAATCTGGCAACATATTTTTATATAAATTTGCAGTAAGTCTATAAATAATATTATACGATACACACGTTAGAGTAGTACTCCTATTGTAAAATTTACTATATATACATTTACGTATATATTTTTAGGCTACCGCAGACAAAAGAACCCACTGTCTAGAAACACTGTCAAAAGTTTCAAGTTTAGAAGAGTATTGTTCGGTAAGTTTATAAATTCACAGAAAACAAAAGTGCCCAGAACATTTTTGTTATGAATCTTATACAGCATGTTTTGGAATAATTTTTTGATACTTGAATAAACGACGTTGGCTTTCTTATTGAATATGTACATAAAAATGACATTTATTTCGCTCTCTCTGAACGTGATTCCCATTTAGTAAAAACATTTCTCTCATCAAAAATGTTATCCTTTGCAGAATCTCAGTGCAGAATTTGACAGGACTGCCACTCAGCTAGCAAACACAGACAAACCTAAGCATCTCAATGGGGCACCTGTGGGGGATTCCCTGTCCACGACATATGCGGCTCAGGTAAGGACAAATAAAGGAGAATTCCCATTCCACCTCTCAAAAAAAAAAAAAAAAAAAAAAAAACTCAAAGCACTCAAAGCACTCAAATTTCGAACTGAAAGAGAAAGAACAGTTTTGCTTTCATCCCGGGCAGGCCCCGAGTTTCAAAGGACACTGGAAACTCGTCTTAACTGTCAGCATGCTTCTGGCGTCACTGAAAACTTTTGCTTATATGTTTTGATTACTCCAGGATTGCATATTCGCGGTGCGGAACAACTGGGCGTGGATCCAGACTGTGGCTAAATGCATGGACACCCACCTGGCAAACGCCGCCGCCTACCACCAGGTGAGGCACGTATGCCCAAGAAAAGCCCCCACTGAAACATTGCATATTCAGCTCAGGATGTTATTTATTATCACTTTGATTGTTATTATTACCAAATATTGGTGTCGACACATCGGCATCAAATGCAGCTATAGTTGATGGATTGGGACGTTTTCTCATTTATTGATGTAATAATGAATAACAAATCCTAGAAATGTCATGCTTACGTAGGTGAACATGAGGTTCTGCAAAACAATCCATTTTACCACGGAGTAGAAATATACAATCCATTGATAATAATAATAATGATAATAATAATAAAATGATGATGATGATTATGGTGGTGATAAAAAGAAAGCAAGTTTTGAGAAACAAATTATTATCACAATTACTGTACTAGCATCATTTCTATTATAATATTCTACCCGGTTTGTATTCCAGTTTTACCATGAAGTAGAGGAGTGCGATTACTGGATGAACCTTTGCCTGGCCACGCTTTATAAAAAGTTTGCAGACAGAGATATGGAGGGAGACAGGCAAAGTGCAATGCGCATGCTCAAGGAATTGGGAGTAAGTCTTCCGGTCAAATTGGCCAGTCCTTTTTTTCTACGATAAAGTCTATTTAAATTGAATTTTTGTTAAGATATCGTGTTTCTTTAAGCACACATTGTGCGATGCGCATGCTCAAGGAGCACGGAAAAAATCCTTTGAATTGGTCAATACTTTTGTGAAATTTCTTGGATGCACTATAAAGTGCAGGTCAGTGAAAGAACAATAAACAATGAAAAAAATACTGCTAAATATTCTATTAAATCATTTCCTCTTTTGCAGGAGACGCTCCAAGCCTATTTACAGTGGCAGGCCCGCGTGGATAATTTATACGACAAAAGTAAAGACATTGTCCCTGTTAAAATGAGGACGCAAGCTTTAAAAGATCCTAAACCAGTTAGAGCGCTCTGTGCATACAAGGCAAATGGCGTAAGTACCAATTATGAGAAAAAAGTTGAACCCGCTCGCACAACGCGAAGAACCAAGCAAAAGATAAAAATAAGAAGCGGGGATGAACCACAAAGCAAAAATTATTTCAAATAGCATGCAATTAGTTTTTCGAGTTTCACGGCTTTTTATGGTCGCTCCATTACAATATTTGTTTACCAAAAAGTGTATCGTTGATGATTTGGAAAAGATAAGTAATACCCAAAAGTTCCATCTACACATTGAAAATGCTACACACACTGGACAAAAGAAGTGTCACCCCCTAACTCAGAGTAATGAAAGTAGGCAGATCTTGGGTACTTATAATGCCTGGTCTACTTATAATGTGACTAATGAGTATAAAACCGCTTTACCATGGAATTGTATTGTTGGTCTTGTACATGTACAGCAAATGTTANCATGTACAATGCATCATTGTTCATTTCAGGTCCAGATACAGGACGGAGAAGATCTGACACTTTTAGACAACACAGATCCAACAAAGTGGAAGGTAAAATAGCGATTGAAAACAAAATCCAAAACATAATTGTAACTCTTTTTCAGCTTTCCTTAGACAAAGTTAAACAGCTTACTATGTGCATTGGGCCTGTGAAAAACGCATTGCATCCCATATCTCCAAGTTAAACCCTATTATATTATATTATATTATATTATATTATATTATATTATATTATATTATATTATATTATATTATATTATATTTTGACAGGTAAAAACTAAGAAGGGTCCAGAGCTGTTTATACCTGCAGTGTGTGTTCTGATACCACCAATGGACGTAGACGCAGTAGAGGCAGCAACAAGGTAACTGTGTGATAAAATACACATGGTAAGCCAGAGACAATTAAAACCGTCGAACTCAGCGTCTTCATTTCCTTAGACGTCTTTATTTCTTTCACCTGCTATGATGAACCATCAATACAAAGGACTAGAAACAGTGTACCGGTTGATATAACTGTTGATTAATTGTTATATATTGTACAAAAAAGGTTTATTGAAGATGAAAATACTTTGATTTCAGATTACGGTTACAGTTGCTGGCCATTTGGACACAGTGTGTGAAGAGACTGGGAAAACAGATGATCACTCTCATGCAACTAGTTTTTAGAGATTGGAGTACTGAGGAGGTGAGTGACCTTGACCCAGCACCTGACCTTGACCTTATGACCCATAATGTGCTGCAATATATGCTCTAAACCTGTCGTCAAGATTAAGGCTGGTTGTTTAGATCTTACTGGTATGTATGTCGAAGTGAAACGATGCTGTTTTCCCATTGGATGCCTTGATCTCACAAAATCTCGAGAGACGAGGGTCTTTTAATGACAACATGGCATTTTGAATTTTTCATTACCATTTTTTTCATTTAGTCTAATACTTTTAAAGCATGAAGTGCGTTGTAAACTTTTGAAAAGTGCAAATATGAAGGAATATTGCTTGGAAATGATTATTTGTGTGAGTTTGGTCTTGTTAGAAGGGGAGAGGGATTTTGGAAATGGATAAATGGGTGGGATGTTATGTGAAAGGCATTGGCTGTCATTGTTTTGGTTGGAAGAACATGGCGCTGCAACGGCACTTTTTTGGCAGCATGTTTGTGTCGAAGTAAGATGCTATATGAGTTTATATGAGTACACACCCTTATTGTGCTTCATAATTGAAGACATTTTGTTAAGCGTGAATGAATACTGGTACTAAGTACATGCTGACATATTTTTTAATCCTCTTTTCGGTGCTTTATTATTTATATGAAAATGTAGCTACTTGGTTGACATAACAGGATACATTGCATTGCAACTAGAATGTTGGATTATATTTATTGGCCGATTATCCATTTGATCAATATTAGCATCGTACAGCATAAATAAGCACCTGTATATTTTGAAGGCAGCATGGTCGTGTCAAAGCTCCTCTGTTCTGTATAGTGTATAGGGTATACTTCAGTATAATGTAACCTTAATAGAAATTATATTAAGAGGAAAAGAAGAGAGAAAAGGGAAATGTATACATTTGTCTGTGCACCTTTTGTTGCTTCAGTTACCCCATTTAATGTATATATCGTTTGGCCTGGCCTGTTTATTTCAGCCTTTTAGTACAGAAGAGCGGCAACAGGTAAAGTATGTTGTGACGGATCCCCGCCCCCTTCCAACCAATCCCGTGTTGTGTTACTGCTGTACCCCATTTTGTGTTCAGTGATGTCGTTTGAAATGCATGTTATGTCTATGTTTTCTCATATACAACAAAATGGACTGTATTATTGTGTGATTGCGCATATATCTTTGTATCAATCTTTGCACCGAACTGCGTCTACTTTATTCTTGAAAGATTCATAATACTAACCCGTCAAATTTACATAACTCACCATTTCTGCTCAAGGATTTACAAATTTGTGCAAGATCTCCCTAGATTTAAAATGAAATAAAATATAATATCTTTTCCACGTTCTTTACAATCTTCTGAGATATACGCTGAGGTTTTGAGTCTGTGTTAAACGAATGTACAAAAAAAAAAAAAAAATAAATAAAAAAAAAATAAAAAAAAAATAAATAAATAAATAAATAAATAAATAAATAAAAAACACGGCGAGATCAAATTACTTTGAAAATCAGAATACAGCACTACTGGTCGTTTTTATTAATCTCTTTCTCATATTGTTTGTCTGTGAATGATTCAAAACCTTCTTTATATTATAACCACAAATCACATTAATCGTTTCGTATCGAGCACGTTATGTATGTTAATGTCCCCACTTTGAGATAAATGAACCGTTTCCATCCCGCTATATGTTGACGTCATAGCAACCAGAACGTCACTAATACCTCGTGTCGTGACAACATATTTTACGACATTCTGCGTGAACAAATGGACCACTGCTGTCCTGGTGACTTTCTTGTATCTATGACTCTCCTTTTAAAATGGCACATAACATGTATTCTTCACACTTTGCACGTCGGATGTCTTATAATAATCGCATGCACCGTATGACTGTGATTTCATTTACGGCGCATTACGTCATATAAATGAAGCGCATATTCAGTATTTTGTTGCAGTGTTTACTTGATCTTTGCTAACACTTTTAACTTTTCAGAGACCATCTTGAGCATGGCTCTTTCTTTCAATCGGATTGAAATTTTATCTCAGGTTTCGGCAGTTGCCTGTCTTTGTAGTGGCACTGTTGAAAATCTGTTTCTAGTTATTAATTGAAACGTGACAGAATGCTTTCATGGCTGAAACATCTTAGTATAGAAGCATATAACGTAGTGCAGCAGAGAAATACTGCGAAGAACGTAGACAAAAAACACATCTTTAAGCATTAATGATAATATAAGAGCTTATATATAGTAGTGCTTGCAGGCTTTCAGTTACACCACATAGAAAATCATTAAAAAAATAAAAGTACCTCTCGATCTAGTACATGAACTCTCACGACAGTATATTTACAATGGTTTTCTTGAGAGCATATCTTCTTTTTGCTTCTTCAACAGCCTTACCAAATGACTCTTTTATTTGAAAAACTGATGCCAGGTTAAAGGATATTCTTTTACACATGTACTCGATATGCATCTATCTTAAGTTCATTCAATGTCATAATTTATTTGTAGATCGCTCTACTTAGGTCGTTACCTAATGGCAAGAAAGACATGCTTCTGAAAATAATGGCACTTATAGAAGATACTTTGGGGAAGCACTGGAAAGATTACCCACAATTCGAGGAGCTTCTGGAACGATTTGGAAGGCTGAGGATTATTCTACGCCAGGAACCGGTGGTGGACATTGAAGGTCTCTCTCTCTCTCTCTTTCTCTCTCTCTCTTTCTTTCTCTGTCAAAAAGGATTCAGCTGGATCCTATGACAATAGTCCGCTTTTTCAAGGAATATAATTTCTACATTATACCCGCATACCAGTAGAGTTCTAGAGATATGCACTTATGAACACTGTTTTGCATAATTAATGCAATGTGCTTTTATGGATTTTAAATGAGTTTTGATGTGTTTATTTCTTGTAATATTTAGACGAAGCAGTGGTTACCACTATAGTTGTACAGATCGGGACGTTGGAGGATCTTATGAGAAAATACGAGGTATGCATATTCATAAACTAGTTTGTTAGTTGCAAAGTGAAAAGAAATGATGGTAGTCCGCTAAGAATTGTAGTCCGTCCCCTCTTGGTTTGTACAGGTAGCGTTCGTCCCATACTCCGATACTTCCATTCCTAGGACTGCTTTTCCTGTCACAAGAGCTAGTTTGTGCATAAAAATAAAGTAAATAATAATAATAACCGATAAATAGGTGCATATTTAATATTGATATTTTTGATTTTTTAACATTCCAACAACCTGACTGTAGGTTAGGAAAAATTAGAATAACATTGCCTGTATTGGAATCAAGGAATCTGTTGATCTGTCACGTGAACAACACATTTTTCGTCATATTTGTCCAGACAAGTAATGCATAATTTTTCTGTTATCATATCAGGACTTCTGGATCTACTGGCAGACGTACAAAGTGATACTGGAGACTCTTCGCCAGCCTCATTTCATGTTGATTGTAGACAAGTGGGAACAGCTTAGATTTATCTCTACGGCACATTTCGTCAAGTGAGTATATACAGAGTAGTGGGGGGGGGGGGG